TTTTTTTATTGTTGCGTAAGACGGCTGTTTTCGACTTGCGCCATTATCAGTGAAGCCAAGCGGAAAGCTCGATTCCGTATCGAAAACATCTATTAATCTCTAGCCCCGGTGCGCGTTCAGGTTTAGACTGTAATGCTTAGCCGCGTTTGGCAGAGATGAGAAGATAAATGGTTCAAGGAAGTTTTGATGAAAAGGGCAAACTGATTGATCTGAAGCAGAAAAGAAATTTCAGCAAGGGGTGTCGGATAACGTTCGGTTGCTGTTGCAAGGCTTGATCTGCAAGAAAGTACGAAAATATCTCGATGAGGACCTCAATCAAAAGGTATTTTTAGAGGATTAATAAAAAGCGTAAAAAATTTTTACGTCTAAATTGCAGCTAGCTGAGGTACAAACCAGAAGTCCGTTGACCGAAGCAATTGAAGCAAATGCTATACGCTCTACGAGATTAACAAGCGGTTCAGGTGGAATCACCTTGGGTAGTATTATGGGAAAGGTTTGTAGCTAATATCTACACAAATAGTCAAAATCGCATCTCCAAATTTTTCAGAGCTTCTCTAAAGATTTCTACATCGACTTCAGGTGCGCTGCATTTTCTCTTGAAATTGATGAGTTACAAAAAACATCTTTTTTTTTAGACTGCGAGAAGATCCACACTGCAGTCTGAATACGGTTGATCTCGCCTGCGCGGGAGAGATTTCTTACAAAGGCGAGGGTGGAACACCGTTTGGACCACCGCCTATTCAGTGGTTAAATCCACAGACGGATTCACATATGATTATGCTCCAGATCTCTGACTATTTGCCAAACTCGCTCTTCTATCATGCTCACAAGTTCGTCGATAGAAATATCCAAATTATTTCTTTAACTAAAAAAAAGATCCATTATTGCAAAGTACCTGAGAGATTCTTGATTTAAATCAAATTTTATTAACTACACGATAATGATTTTTCATTTCGAACGGGACTATCTAAGATTCACGTAGCATCACTCAGATGAGTGAATTTCTCTAGACAAGTGTCGGCAAA